CATGTGGACATTAAATACCATTTTGTAAGATCGATGTTGAATGATGGAGAAATCAGTCTGGAATATTGTCCCACTGAAAACATGTTTGCGGATATTTTAACAAAACCAGCAACAAAGTTTAAATTAATGAAGTTTAACATATTTATGTTTGGTGTATGAATTATGTGGTTAAGAAGAAGGGTAACAAATGTGAGAGCAAGTGGGGGTGTTGACATTTTAATGTATGATGTGCTCTCTTATTGTGTTTGTATTTATATTGTATATTGTATTGATTTGTATGTGATTTGAGAGATGTAGTGATCATGTGACCTAATTAGGATTTGAATGATTGCACCTGAGTGTTTTTAGTATTGGTTAATAAAAGGTAGTGCGTCAGCACAAATTGGTGTGAAAAGCTAACAAAAGTTATCGAAATGTTATCGTGTGATGTTTGGTATACTCTACTAACATTAACCTCTATCATTAACCAAAATTTAGCGTCTTACAACACAGATTGCTCTCTTATTGTGTTTGTATTGTATATTGTATTGATTTGTATGTGATTTGAGAGATGTAGTGATCATGTGACCTAATTAGGATTTGAATGATTGCACCTGAGTGTTTTTAGTATTGGTTAATAAAAGGTAGTGCGTCAGCACAAATTGGTGTGAAACGCTAAAGAAAGACGACGTTGTTATCGTGTGATGTTTGGTATACTCTGCTAACAACCTCTCTAAAACAGTATCAGCAACAACTAAACATAATCACTTTCATGAAGGTAGAATTTAATGCACGAGTGTTGTATTAGACTATTAGTTACTCCACTACCTCCCAGACCTGAAGTGGATGTCCAACATCAGGACCATCACCAACAAGGCACAGTAGAGGATATACTTCCTGCACCAGCTCAGGAAGTTCAACCTGCCCCAGGAGCTGCTGATACAGTTCTACAGAGGGATCATTGAGTCTGTTCTCTGCAACTCCATCACTGTCTGGTTTGGCTCAGCAACCAAACAGGACAAGTACAGACTTCAGTGGACAGTCAGGACTGCAGAAAACCTCACTGGTGCAAGCCTGCCTTCCATGGAGGACCTGCACACCTCATGGATCAAAAGGAAGGCACAGAGGATCACTGCAGACCCCTCACACCCGGGTGTTTGAACTCCTCCCCTCTGGACGGTGTTACAGGTCACTGTACTCCAAGACAACTAGGCACAGGGACAGTTTCTTCCTCCAGGCCATCAGTCTGATGAACACTTGACCCACCATAGTATGATTGGGCAATAACCCTCCGTGCAACACCTTTAAACATACCTTATACAGATTATACATATTCGTACAGCTCTATTTTTAAGTACTCTATTTTTAATTCCTACTTATCCCATTTCACAATGAGCTTTGTCTGTCTGCATTGTTTACTGCACTGCTTATTTTACTGCATTGTTACTGTCTGTACATACAGTACTGCTTATTTTGCATTGGTTGCACTTTCAGTTGCTTGTAAATGCTGCGCATTTGTGGTTATATTACACAGCCTTATGCTGGTTTACTGTTTGCACATTGAGAGCTGATGTACCAGAGTCAAATTCCTCGTGTGTCCAACACACCTGGCCAATAAAGCTGATTCTGGTTCTGATTCATCAGTTCTGGCTATTTTGTTTTAGTAGTAGTAGTAGATAGGGGCCGTTCCTATCCACACTCCAGTTAGAAGGTGGCGCTAATGCAGGTAAAGTTGTTTGACAATCGCCGTTAAACCACAGAAGAAGAAGAAGCTCTACAGTAAGGGGTTGAACTCACTGTAAAAGACCAGCGGGGGTCAGTAACATACCTTCTGAGTCTGCGAGTCCTGCACGAAAACTAAACCAGAAACTTTTAATAGGAAACAGTTTAGCTTTTCCAACGCACATGAACGTCCACTTCACTTAGTTATTTATCACTGAAGTTCATCTGAACATCTGGAAAGGTTTTCAACTATCTTTACTTTCGATTTCACCGCGATGACGCAGAAAGAAGCAGCGGGTGAGTAACTACTGAAGTAAATAGGTGAATAAAATTTGTTTGTGGTCAGAACTGCCAATGGATGTTAATGGGATTATTAGATCGCGAGTTCAGGCTGATTCTTCTTTGTTTTTGCTGTCGGTGGTTCGGGGTGTCGCTGCCAACACTTCGGCCGTTTACACCACAGCTGGTTCAACGCTACCGGAACGGTATTGGGAAGGAGACCTGGACTTAACAAAGCTCATTACATGACACTTTATTATCATCTTCTATAGAGCAAACTGTCAGCAGCTGTTTGGGATCAACGTGACAAACCTTTGAACAGGAAGTAAATGGAAAACAATCAGGTGGTTTGATGGGTTAAAACTGTTTTAATGACCAATATGAGAACGACTGAACAGGTTTTCAGTTTGTGGTTTTAGATACTTTGATTTCAGTTTGTAGTCTGACTACATTACTACTGCTACTGGGAGTACTACAGGTACTACAGTAGTCCTACTGCTTGTGGTACTACTAACCAAAGGTTACTACTCAGACAGCGCACAAGCCCTGAGCAGGTTTTCAGTACAGACACTGACTCCACAGCCCTGCACAAGATGGAGTCTGGAGGCTGGTTTCTGACCCGTTTTGTTTGTTTGTGTTTGTAGTGTGTCAGCAGTGAACAGTTGGAGCTTCCCCTGGTGTCTCGGCCCACTGACACTATGGCAGCTGCTGCAGAACCAGGTGAGTCCAGCCAGAGGTTTACAGCAGTGATTACTGAGACCAGGTTCTTCCTGGTGTAATGCCCAGCGTCGGCCACTAGGGGAAGACAGTATGTAACTGTGGATAGCAGGCCACTGGATTCACAACACTCAGTATCACTGTGTGTGTGTGTGTGTGTGTGTGTGTGTGTATGTGTTTGGGTGCATCTAGTAGTAACACAAGCAAGGCTCTGAAAAAATGTAATGAACACACTGGAAAATGTGCAGATCAGGACAGTACACTCTTTGTTTCACTGGGGCTTAAACAACTGGTTAATGTGTTTTTGAGTCTGGTTAAAAACAATAAGTGCCATGTAAACACTGGAACATGTTCAGCCTGCTGTGACCATTCCTCCTGTTCATACTCGCCAGAAACAAGCTTTCAATGTTGGTGATGGGGAACAGAATCGACGCAGTAAATTCCAAACACCAGCTGACGATTATATTTGGCCTCACATCTGTTTTTCTGTCCATCCACAGCAGCTCAACAAGTAACATTGTGGAAACAGTTTACCTCCCAGTTCCCTTCACTTCCTGTCTGCCATCTTGAAGGGTCTTATTCCTGTTCAGAGTAGTGAGACAGTGGATGGATGCAGTCAAGGGAACTGGGATGTACTCACTGATTGGTCTAAGTCAGACTGCTGAAGCCAAGCCTCATATTAACTGCAGGTAAACGTGGCATTGTAGAGTTTGTCTCCCATCCTGCTCATGGCCGGTGTGTTAGGAAGGACGACCACAACAGGAAGAGTTACACAGCACAAGCTGCTGTTTTCGTAAATAAAGAGAAAAACATGAACCTACAGTACTCTAATGACGCCACAGAGCAATATTTCTATCATACATGACTGGTTAAACTACAGTAGTTAAAGCAGCTTCACCAACGGTAACGTCTGTGTTTAAACACTGGACCAGTTACTGTAGGTCGCATCTTATGAAACAGTGGCACAAAGTCTAATAACTGCATGATGTGAGTTTGACTTGATGGCAGATCACATGCTCTGTGAACTGAAAGCAATATGACTATCAGTCATTATCGATCCCTTTGTATGTTATTTATAAGTGTCTATATCGTCCGTTCCTGGTGTTGATGGACTTGTTTTCTGCACCATCCGCTGTTCACTACGCTGGTCGAGCCATTTGAGTCACATTTCTTCTGAAGCTGTAAAAAGCCTTGGGTTTATTTGCTCTAGTGTTATTGTTTTGTTTTATTACAGAAGCAGGTGAAGACAAACCAATGAGGCGCAGCAGCAGCTTCCAGTTCATTCCCCCAGACAGTAAGTTCAACCTGCTCTGACTCGGTTTCTGTTTTGTGACGTATTCTTCCAAACTGGCCTAAAGTTCCTCCACAGCTGCTCACAGCGAAAGTAACTCTGCTGATAAACCTACAAAAATGTAGATGGATCATGACACTGAAGCTCATGAAGGAGCTGGTTTCCACACACAAATGACACCTGTTATTATGGAAATGTATAGAAACAAGTTTCCACAATAAACACCACTGACACATTAGTCCGTGCAATAAAATCAAACCAGTTCTCTTAAACAAAGGAGACTGATCCATATTTAGTTTGGAATATTATCACCATGTGATTGAACCAAACACAAGTTTGTGTGTTTATGAAACGATGGGACTCGGGGTTTTTTCTGTGTTTATTTAGTGACACATTGATGGGATTAATTTAAATTATTTAAACAATAAAATAACAAATCAAAGTGTAAAAACCTGGATTGAAAGCTTCAGCTGGTAATGTCATCAATGACTGATTCCTTGAGACTTATCTGGTTTCTTCTCACAGTCAGAATGTGTTTAAGGTGGACCCTCAGCTCCACCTTAACTTCACCTGCACAGCAGCAGTAAAACATGCTGTGTGTAGTTATAGATTTAAACAATGAAGCAGACGTCAGGCAGCCAGAGCTGCTTTACTGACCGAGGGGAACACTGTATCTTAGATCTGGTCTGGTCCGTGGGCAGCTTCTTATCAGACATGTTCTCCATTAGAAGCGGCTATGAACAGCAGCTGTTTTGTTTACAGCATGTTCCTGCTGTATAGCTCTTCATCTTTCCTTTTCTGAATGGCGAATACAATACTGCCAGCTGCTGATAGGGGGAGTTATTTCTGTCACGCAGGCGCAGTACGCACGTGCTAGTTGGCTGACAGCTGACGTGTGTGCGTTGTGTTCAAGGGCCACGTTTTCCACCCGGCTGTTCCAGATCAAGCTGACGTGAGGCCATGCAGACGTCGGTCTTCATCGCTGCTGGTTCCTTCATGTCAGCTTGGTGTGTACCAGTCCTAGGGCTGAGTCCAGTCACCCTAGAGAGGAAACACATTTCTGCCACTCATTTCTTTTCATTGTACCCCAAGCTCAGGACCACAGGTGATGTTTGGGACATAGACTGACTGGTAAATTGAGAATCAACACCTCAGACTCAGAGGTGCTGATTCTCATCCCAGCTGCTTCATGCTCAGCTGCAAACCACCCCAGTGCACGCTGGAGGTCACGGTACACAGTGGGATAAACATGACATACCTCCACTGTTGGACTGACCAGAGAGGATTCCTGCCCACATGAGATGATGTGCACATTTGACCACACCACGATAGCAAGCAGAAACCCATGGGACCAGGAGGTGTCACCACGTAGCAGCAGACTCCTTCTGATACTGTCAATAAAACTATAATTCCAACTTTTCCAGCTAGTGCTGCTATGCTGACTCTTCTCAGCTGTGACTTCAAGCAGTTTTTCTCCTCTTTTGTTTCACAAAGCACACACAAGTCCTCCTATCTGACAACAGTCGGGTTCATGTTTATGTTGCGTGGATATTGTTTTATAATGCGGGGATCCAAAGTCACTGGTATCACCACTCTGAGGGTGTTTAGTATAAACGCAGCATGTGTGGTTCTACATGTTGACTAAATCACGGTGTGTGAGTGACTGAGATACTGAAATGAGTTAAATCTGTCATTACGGCTGTGGTCTCCCACGGTTTTAATGTCAGTAGGTCAGTGTGCGGCAGGCTAGCACCAGGTGCCTGTATCTGCACTGTGAGGTCGTTTGGAGTTAGAGTTACAGGCATTCAGTGACCATGAACAAATTTGCACTGCCTTTGTTGTGCTAGTCAAGTTAAGAATCTTTATTGTCATTATGCATAGCACAACGAAATTTTATCCGGCAGCTCTCGGCTTAAAAGACACATTATTTACATAACACACAATTGTATAAGTCAATATACAACAATGAGCAAATAAAAAGGTATGTATGGGACCTAATCAGGTTAGCAGCAAAAGAGTGTAATGTAATGCAAATATTGTTATTTATATAATTTATTACTGGTGCACGTCTGCAGTGGTCATGCTATGCTGGCAGAGGTTAGAGTCCACTTTCTGGCCGGCTGACAGCTCTTCACTAGTGTTCGTCATAATCCTGTTAGATTGGGCTTGTGCTGGGTCAAGTTCACTTTTGCTTCATCTTTCTAATTCAGTGTTTTGGTTTCAGTGTCAGAGCTGAGGGTCGTCCTGCTGGGGAACAGCTGGTCTGAGAGGAGCTCAGTGGGGAACCTCATTCTGGGAGAGACTGGGTTCATCACTGAGGAAGAACCAGTCTGCTGTCGAAGAGTCAGTGGACGGGTGGGGGAGAAAGGAATAGTTCTCATCAACACCCCAGATCTGCTGCAGCCCAAATTCCTCGGAGACCTAATGAAGCATGTAGACGACTGTATGAGACTCTCTGATCCTGGACCTCATGTGTTCCTGCTGGTCCTACAGCCTGAAGACTTCACCGAGCAACACAAAGAGAAACTGTGTGCCGTTCTTCAGCTCTTCATTGATCGATCATTTGATCACTCACTGGTTCTGCTGTGTCCACCCAGAGAGGAGAGGTCAGGTGAAAACTACAGGAACCATCCTCCACTAAAAGAAATGATCAGACTGTGTAGATACAGACACATGAAGCTGGAGGAGCTCGAACGTCCAGAGCTGTTAACACGACTGGGTCAAACTGCAAAGGAGAACAGAGGAGAGCATCTGAGCTGTGGCCCTTTTCAGGATGAGGATCCAGGTTTAGCCATGAGACCGAAGCCAGCTTTAAACCTGGTTGTGTGTGGGAGGAGAGGAGCAGGGAAGACCTCAGCAGCCAAGACCATTCTAGGTCAGACAGAGCTTCACTCAGTCTCCAACTCCCCACAGTGTGTTAAACATCAGGCAGAGGTGTGTGGACGTCAGGTTTCCCTGGTGGAGCTTCCTGCCTTGTATGGAAAACCTCTGGAGGCCGTGATGGAGGAATCACTCAGGTGTATCTCCCTCTGTGGTCCTGAGGGCGTCCATGCCTTCATCCTGGTCCTACCTGTGGCTCCCCTCACTGATGAAGACAAGGGAGAATTAGAGAGCATCTGGGACACATTCAGCTCTCGAGTCAAGGACTTCACCGTGATCCTGTTCACTGTGGAGTCAGATCCTACAGCTCCAGCTGTTGTTAACTTTGTCAGAAAGAGCAGAGACATCCAGGAGCTCAGTCAGAGCTGTGGAGGAAGATGTGTTGTTCTCAGCATCAAGGACGGGCATCAGGTCTCTGAGCTGCTCCACACTGTGGACACGATCAGCGCTGAAGGATCCAGATGCTTCACACAGGACATGTTCACCAGGGCTCAAATAGAGACAGTGACAAAACTCACAGCTGAACTCCAGAATGTGACACAGGGTCAGATGGGAGCTAGTGAGAGCAGAGAGCCTCTCAGGATGGTGCTGATGGGGAGGACTGGCTGTGGGAAGAGCTCAACAGCAAACACCATCTTAGGCGAAGAACACTTCAAACCCAGAGTTGCCCCGAAGCCACCGATCACATCTTGTGAGACAGCAGCTGGAGAGACTGATGGACATCCTGTGGTCGTGGTCAAAACCCCGGATCTGTTTGATATGACTCTGTCTGAGGATGAATTTCAACAGGAGGTTACAAAATGCATCAGCACGTTGGCTCCCGGACCTCATGTGATCTTACTGCTGCTGCAGATCGGCAACTTTACACCGGAGGAAAAAGACTCTGTGGAGCTGATCAAGAAATACTTTGGCAAAAAGTCGGTAGATTTCACCATGATTATCTTCACCAGAGGAGACGAACTACACAACCGGCCTTTTGATAGCTATTTACTAGACTGCCCCGACTTTGTCAAACAACTGATAAATGAGTGTGGAGGAAGATTTCAGGTCTTCAATAACAAAGACGAGACAGATCGCACACAAGTCCACGAGCTGATGGGCAAGGTTGATGCCATGGTGAAGGGAATTGGTAGCGGCTGCTACAGAACTGAGATGCTTTACGCCACAGAGGAATTGAGACAAATACAGACTGAGAGGATTATGGAGGAGGCGAAGAGAAAGGAGGAGAGCCTCAGGAAAATGTATGAGGAAGATCTGAGAAAACAAAAAATTAAAATCAGTGAACTGACGGGGGAAATAGAAAAAGAGAGAAAACTGAGAGAAAAACAGCTGAAGGACAAAGACAACTGTTTCAACAAGGAGCGTGAGGAGAGAAAGAAGGAACGGGAGGAAGAGGAGAAGAGACGGAAAAAACAAGAAGAAGCTCTGCGTCAGGACTGGAGGAGAAAACTGGATGCCTCAGAGAAAAGAGTTGAGTCAGAACGAGAGCAAGCTGAGAAGAAGCTGGAGCAGAGTAGGAGAGAGATGAAGAGAGAGCGAGAGGCCTGGGACAAGGAGAAGAAGGACATGTGGGAACGAACGCGTCAGGAGCTCAGACAGAACCTGGAGGAGGAGAAAACCAGCCACAGGAAGCTCCAGGATCGATACCATAAGACCAAAATCCTGATGTGTTCTCTGGTTGCACTGCTGCTGCTGGTCTTATTATACATTGTCTTTCTGAGTCCTGCATACACACAGACTGCAGAGAGCATGAAGGCAGCGTGAGGAGATTCACCGCCACCTGATGAAGACTGTGGTTCTGTGTTTATAGTTTACAGGTGAAGGTGAAATCTGCAGTTTACACTAATGGGTTGATGTGGACGTACAGTGATCAGACACCAGAACACAGATTATTCTCTGGTTGGATAATCCTAACTCCAGCTGTGTCTGGAGGTGAATATGTATATAGTAAACATACGTGTGTAAACAGTTGGTACATCATAGATGGAGAAGCTCGTGGCCGTTGCTCCAACACGACCTACTGCTCTGTGAATTAACTCATGGCGATGGAGACAAAGTGCTTCAGAGCTCAGATGGCTCATGAGGTCATCACGTGTTCGTTTCTCACATTTGTTTAAAGTCTCGTCAAGAGAACCAGTGAGCAGCTAATGCCCTAGAAGTACAGTTTATCTAATCAGAGGTTATTGGATGGTAGGTTTTTCCATTTTGCTATGTGTAATATGTACTTTTTCAAAATACAGTATAATCTCTTGTTTCTGACACTGAACAGTTTGATGTACAGACAGATGCTCTCTGCTGGCATGTGGATTAAACCTGAGCTATGACCATCCTGTAACAAAGGACCAGATAGGGATGATTAGCTTATGGTAAAGTTTGGAAATCATTTCATGAACAGCATTTATGGTGTTTTTAAATCCATGTGGACTGGGCACTTTGGTGCATGACCCAAATAAATGAACTACATGTGGCTTGTCATTTCAGCCAAGTTTGTCCCCCTCACAGCCACTCAAGTCACAGCTACACATCTGATCTGAACATGTTTATGAAAAGCCCAGAAGTTTAACATTGACCAGTGTTTAAGGCATTTCCACCCTCCCAACAACTCAACCAGCAGAAGCACTTTTGTTGCACACTAAAACCACAATGATCCTTAGATTTGGCTTAAGTCTAAAAACAGTTTAGATGGATCCAATCCAATGTTTGTGTAACATAAGTTGATCAGACGATTCTCTGGAGCTTTTAAAACTGTTTAATTCAGGCTAGAAAAAAAAAGTGCAGTAAGTAATTTTTATTTATATAGCACCTTTCACAGACAAGGTCACAAAGTGCTTTAAAAAGTCAAAAGGGATAAATAATATACATAAGCCTAAAAGTACTCACAGCACGACACAATTTATAAAATGAATAAACCCAATCAATTAAAAAACTGTCTAAATAAATGTGACTTCAGCTGTTTTTTAAAATCAATAGATTCAGTCATACGTAAAAGTCAAGGGTAGGGCATTCCACAGTCTTGGAGCTACGACCTGAAAAGAGGTCCCCCCAAGATTTAAAACAAGTTTTGGGGACCACCAAAAGAGTTTGGTTTACAGAACGGAGTATGGGGTCAGCAGATCGATAATGTACTGAGGCACCTGCCCATGTAGTGCTCTAAATGTCAGCACTAAGATTTTAAAAATAGAGTCTAGCTTTGACTGGTAACCAATGGAGCGAATACAAGACTGGAGTGATGTGAGCTGTTCTAGAGGTTCCTGTCAGCTACATTCTGGACAATCTGAAGATGATTTAAAATGGACTTATAACAGGTAAAAAGAGAATTACAATAGTCAATGCATGAAGAAACAAAAGCATGAATAATCAACTCAAGATCTCCCTTAGATAAAATCTTCCTTAATTTAGATATATTTCTCAAATGAAAGAAGCAATTCCTGACTGTCTTATATGACAAAGGACATTGCCTGGTCCAACACCACACCAAGGCTTCGAAGGCTCAACTGGACAGAAGAGCCCAACAAACAAAGGCGTTTATATATGCAGTGATAAAATACAGAAACACACCACTAAAGCAGAGGATTGTCTTTACCCGTTTTTAGCAGGTGAATGTCATTGTGGCCTCATTGTCCTTAAACTTCATGGTTCAGGATTAACATTAACAAGTAGGTGGTTCTGAAGCTGCTTTTCCACACATCACTAGTAGCCACAGAGAAACAGTCAATGCTAAACCAAACAGCTGCACGACAAAACCAGACCAGGCAGCTGTTATCAACTCACTACAAATTAAATTCCATTCACTTCTATGAGGCCGAAATATCTTTCAAGTCTCAGTAAAACAAAGAAGCAAACGAGCCCATTAGAGCAGCTGTAAACAAGCACTGGCATTTTATTGGAGTGTCAATACAGAGAAACAGAAGCTGAACAGTGATGTGCAACTTATTGCATCAGGTTGTTGAGAGGTAGAAAGACAGGAACAAACAGGTGTGCACTGACAATACTGAAGCCGTGAGCAGAATTTACACCAACACATTCAGAAGTGTTTGTAGGTGGCGCCGAGTTCTACTCAGCTGAAAATGCTAAAGGTCACCGACTCCTTAGTCTGCACATGATAACCCAGGACCTCTAGCTGGATGAGCAGGTGAAACAGGAGGACTGAGCTTCTAGAAGCACTTGCGGTGGACGATGGCGGGGCCGGACTCGTCGTACTCCTGCTTGCTGATCCACATCTGCTGGAAAGTGGAGAGGGAGGCCAGGATGGAACCACCGATCCAGACAGAGTACTTCCTCTCTGGGGGGGCGATGATCTGGGGGTGGGAGACAAACGGGTGAGACAGGAGGCACAAGTTCAGTATCAACATGCAGTTTAACATTTCTGGATTTCAAACCGAATTTTACCAAAACCAAATTTCTCACAGAACATGAACACTGCAGAGTGTTAGTTTGTGGAACTGGGGCAGAGACCATTTTAAACTATTCATTTAGTTTACAAAACCAAATGTCCAAGGTTTAACCGTGTGAGGTTTAGTAGATCAAGTGGCATAAAACAGTGTTTTCTTTACTATAGAAAGTAAATCCTATAAAGACCAATGAGGAAGTGACTAGATCTCTTCAAAAGCTTTCCAGACAGATTGTGATCCACATTACCTTGATCTTCATGGTTGGGGGGGCCAGGGCCGTGATCTCCTTCTGCATGCGGTCGGCGATGCCGGGGTACATGGTGGTGCCGCCGGACAGCACCGTGTTGGCATACAGGTCCTTACGGATGTCCACGTCACACTTCATGATGCTGTTGTAGGTTGTCTCATGCACGCCAGCTGACTCCATTCCTGACACACAAACAGATGTTTTAGTGAAGACTTCAACACACAAGAACCAACTGAAGCCACCAGCTACAGTAGCTGTTCACAAACCGAGAAATGAAGGCTGGAAGAGCGCCTCGGGGCAGCGGAACCGCTCGTTGCCAATGGTGATGACCTGTCCGTCAGGAAGCTCGTAGCTCTTCTCCAGGGAGGAAGAGGAAGCTGCTGTCTGCATCTCCTGCTCAAAGTCCAGAGCCACATAGCAGAGCTTCTCCTTGATGTCACGTACAATCTCACGCTCGGCTGCAGTTAGAGAACATTTGTTACAAAAGCAAACTCAGAAGTTGGTGGTTTTCAAAATGGAGCCCAAACCCTCTGGTACCGGTGGTGGTGAAGCTGTAGCCTCTCTCAGTCAGGATCTTCATCAGGTAGTCGGTCAGATCTCTACCAGCCAGGTCCAGACGGAGGATGGCGTGAGGCAGCGCGTAGCCCTCGTAGATGGGCACAGTGTGGCTCACACCGTCACCAGAGTCCATCACGATACCTGTCACAACAAGCACCCAGTTACAAGAGGCACTTCCCTCATGGCTCAGCATTAAGGCTGGTTTCTCAGAAACCAGTCTGTTCCAAGTGTTTAAAGATGCGAGCGCTCACCTGTGGTACGGCCGGAGGCATACAGAGACAGGACGGCCTGGATGGCCACATACATGGCAGGACAGTTGAAGGTCTCAAACATGATCTGGACCAAAGACAAACATGTCACTGTGGAAGTGGTGACAGCTGCAAGAAAACCCTGCAGCATGAGTGACCAACACAGTCAGTAGGTTACAGACACACCTGTGTCATCTTCTCCCTGTTGGCCTTGGGGTTGAGGGGGGCCTCAGTCAGCAGCACCGGGTGCTCCTCAGGGGCCACGCGCAGCTCATTGTAGAAGGTGTGATGCCAGATCTGCAGCACAGGGGAGGGTTAGACAAACTGGCATCACTGTCACAACTACAGGTGAAGGTTTCACCTGGGGTCATTACCGTCCCTCTTCCTGGTTAGCGACATAACCACATCCAGTTTTATCACATTGACTTTCCATTTAACACTCTTACTGGGAGACACTATGCTGAAATGGGCCCAGTCTGCACTGGGAGTACTTCCATTTCAAAAGTGTTTGTAGGCTGTACCCCAGGCTTTCCTGTTTTACATCTAGTCACTTGGAAATTTAATTAGCATCTCAGTCTTAAAGAAACTAAACTTCCAATTTGGGTCTGATCTACAAAGATGCAGGTGCATTCACGACGTCTGACAATACTGTACAGGAACCAGCTTCATAAGAGTTACCGACTTTGTCACTTGATAAACATTTCCCAATAGGACGTTCAGTTAAACATTTATAGCAACTTTTCTGACCAGACCAGTAACAGTCAGCCTGAACCTCTAGTAGAAGGTTTCACAGAATACATAGAGTTAAAGGTTTAACTCCAGCCTCAATTCAGTCCGTGTTGTGTCCGAGCTGCAGGTGCGTCCTCACCTTCTCCATGTCGTCCCAGTTGGTGACGATGCCGTGCTCGATGGGATACTTCAGGGTCAGGATGCCTCTCTTGCTCTGGGCCTCGTCTCCCACGTAGCTGTCCTTCTGCCCCATGCCCACCATCACACCCTACACACACACACACACACACACGTCACATACAGTCACATGTCGCGCACACACGCAAGCGGTGCCGATGTCGGTACCTGGTGTCTGGGGCGGCCGACGATGGAGGGGAAGACTGCGCGGGGGGCGTCGTCTCCGGCGAACCCGGCCTTGCACATACCGGAGCCGTTGTCAACAACGAGGGCAGCGACGTCGTCCTCCATTTCTGAAATATTTACATTAAGGCAGTTTGTTTATTCTCCAGTGATGCATCCTGAACAGCGTCACCCCAGTTACAGCATCTTCACCAGTTTTATATTTAGGTAAATACAGTCTTTGTCGTCTCCGTAAAGCCTTGGTGGTTAACCACCTGTCAAAACTTCAGCTCATTAAAGTTAATCAAAAACTTTAGGAATTATGTTTCATGTTCTTTTTCAGAAGCTTCTTCAAACGGGGGTCGAAGTCACTGCAGATTTGAAACTACTGCTGTGATGTAGCTACTCTGCAGGTTTCTGCCATTTGATTTTTCCTGATGTCAGTTCCTCTCCCAGTTGAACTCTTCCTGCTCAGCCTCTTTCCGGGTGACACAGCCCGGGCGTGGCAGGTCAACGCGCCCTGGGGATGAACTGCGACCAGAGACTGAACAGGTCCAGGCAGGAGCAGAGCCGCTCCCGTTTGGCAGCCTGTCCTCAGGATGCACAGTGTCTGAGAGCTCATCTACAATCACTGCCTTGTGTGGGAAGAGTTAGCATCAGCCTGGTGGATTAGCTTTATTTCTGCCCCAGTTTGGAGTCTGGAGGGTGTGACACAGACCAGGCCGACCCCTCTGGACATTTGTACTCAGCTCGTTCAGACAGCAACTCTGCTCCAGTCAAACAGGGCGCATTACATTTGTCATTCAGTTTAAAGTGTTGCTCAACTTTAAATAACTGAGTTACTCTACGTTACAAATAAGACTTACTGCAGCTTCATCAGATGAAGACATCAGCTGCCTTCATAGTTCACACTGGAGCCTTGGATCATTTCCCTTTTCTGAGGGGTTAACACATCCTCACTAGAGGATTCCCTCATGTCAAACCAGGTTGGAGGTCAATCCTCACATCACTGCCTGTGTGAGTCCACCTCGTACATTTACTGGCAGAGAGAAACGTTTAACTTATCTGTCAAGTTTATTCTCTGAATAAAACAAGAACCCTTTGGTGAAATTAAGTTAAACCCTTAGTCTGAATTTAAGAGCTCAAACCTGCGTGGCTCCCTGCCGATTATCAATACATCTGTGTCCTCTAACGAAAGACAATTCTCCACCAGCTGTTCACCTTAAGATGTTTAAAACCAACCAAAGTGCGCCGGGTCCTACCTGTGCAGGTGAATCTCAGGTGTGTCCGTAGGTGTCGTCTGGTGAATGTTCCTCTGGCCCAATGTGCTCGATAACTGTAGCATCACCAGCCCACCTGCACCGGCTTTATTCGCGCTCACGGGGCCGCTCGCGTTGTCCATAAAAGGTAAGTTTGTCTCAGCTCCCGCTCTGATTGGGGCAGGTGAGCACGGTCCCGCAGGTTGTCCCAGCTCGCGTCCTGATTGGCTGCAGCAGACGTCTGTCAAGAGGGAGGGAGGGCAGAAAACACCCGGCGGGTTTGTACTGAAACCATTAACTTCACGTGGGCAAGAGAGCCGTGATTGGCCCGTCACACCTGAAGCGTGAGTCCGGATTTAAATGTCTTTATGGAGGAACGCCGTCTCTGGTAGGCTAGTGGTTAAGGCGCAGCGCTCTCACCGCGGCGCCCCGGGTTGGAATCAGGGTTGGTTAGGAAGCGCGTCCGGCGTAAAACACGTGCCAAATGTGACGATTCGCTGTTGCGAACCCTAAACGGGAAAAGCCGAAAGTGACTTTCTATGGAGGTGAAGGAAAGAGCAACTCACAAAGAGACAGGTCTGCTTCAAATGAGAGGACAGGACACCGACCGATGTGTCAGTGAAACTAAGAAGGTTACACAGGACGAAGCTCTTCTCTCACGTTTGTCTGTTGTGCTGAGGACAGTGTTTTGTTTAAGTGGGAACCCGAGGTGGACACGTGTCCATAGGCCTCAGGCTGTGGTCAGCTGAAGGTTGGAGGTGGTTGGTGCCAAAAGTCCCTTTTTAAAACCCAGAGGAGTTTGAGGACACTTCTCTAATTTAGCTTCATGCACTAGTAAAGAAAACCAACTCATTTTAAACCTTAAAGCCTCTGAAACCTCTAGTTTTCAGTTTTAAGTGAAATGTTTTTTATTACACGTTGCTAACACTTCTCAGTCCACTGTCACATTAAACCTGCAGCAGCTGGTTTTTGGCCACTTGTTTTCAGGCTGTAAACACCAGCGGATGTGTTGGCTGAGCTGCAGACCAGCTGCTTGTTTCCACATGCAGCTGCTCCAGAGCAGCATGATTCATGTGAAGTAGTAAAACCTAACTTAAAGGTTTGTCCCTGCAAATTAAGAACAACAACAAAAAAAAGGACTTTAAAAACTGTTTCAAAGGAGACTTACTTAATATTACATGGGGGGGAGGGGGGGCAGATATGAGATAATTTAGATTTTTTAAAATAATAATACATTTCTAGCACATGCCTGTTTGCTGATTCTCTTTTAGTGTGTGACTTCAGACTTCTGGCAGCTCTGTTACTGGACATTTGCAGTTTTCAACAAATGTTTTTGTTCTAATTCTTTATTTTTCCAACAATGTCCGAACTGTTTGCAACATAATTTAAAACCAAACCTGATTTTCAGTAAAAACCAGGTCCATTCTGTCCTTTATTCTGAAGATGCTTTGTGCTCCTGGTCTGAAACCAGAACCCAGTTTGAATGAACGTGTCATTATCCACAGATTTACATGGACAACAGGAGGAGAGAGGCCAGTGAACAACCACAGGGTGAGTCTCACACTGCCTGGACTCTCACTTTTCCTCCAGCTTGTTCAGACTGATCCAGTCTGGACTGACCGTTAAACCATCTTTGGTCAAGTTCTGACAGTCATCCTCGAGCATCAGATCCATGATGCTGGTGACTCACTGTTTGATCACATGGTTCCTGGTTTATGTTGATCCGGTTTCTGACTCTGTTCAGACCCAGTTCCTCTGGGTCATCAGGCAGGTACTGAAATGCTGGCATACTGTGTTGAGAGAAAAACACTGGTTGGAGAAACATGTTTATATGCAGTATGTCAAAGTACAGCACTGAGACGGTTACTACAGAGACTCGGCTACTGGATCTTCACTGGTGCCATGCTGCTCAGCCCTGAATCGTCATGTGGACTGAAGACAGAAGCAGAGAGTTCGGATTCAGAGCAAATTCTCAGGTGTGAACAGTAGCGTCAGCAGAAAGGTGATGTTGTCTCTGTGGAGCTGCTGCTTCGCTGACGTCCACGTCCCTCAGACACCAGCTGAACCTTTTCTCCTCATGACCTCAGAACAGAGCGGACTGTGACCTCTCATCACAGAGGGCATGTCTGTGTTTGTTAGCAGTTTGACTGAGGAGTGTTTTTCCCTTCTCTCGTTTGATTGCGATGTTTAACATTTTGCAGTATTGTAGTTTTACTAATTACTCTCTGTACACTGGACACCTGTTGCAGGTCTATGTCCTGCACGAGGGATCCTTTCTTTTTTAGTTTTCTCCCAGTAAAAGTAGTTGTCTGTCTTTGCTTCATAGTCTGAAACAGTGAATGTTGCGCTGCAAAGATCGTCCCTCCCACAGGCTGGAAACAACTTTTCTCTGCATCCTTTGTTTTTGACTTCTTGAATCATTTGTCCTCTCCTGTCTCCCATGAAGATATTTTACACTGCAGTATCTGTTGGCACAGTCACTGATATAAACAACACAGCTGCTTCACCGAAGCTGAGCCACTGATGCTGTTGTTTTGTGATGTTCCTGTTATTGTGTCCACCCCCTGAACCTGCACAGACATGTCTGTACATTCACACAGTTTGTCTTTCACTGATTCATTTTCCTGTAAAGGGATAAAAATGCTCTTTTTGTTGCAGCAGAGAAGCTCTGAACATTTCCATTTTAACCTCTGGTTTGGGATTCAGCCAATCATAAGACAGGATTTCACGGCAGGCCCTTAATCCAGGTGTGACCCCGCCCCCTGTGTGTCAGCCTGAAGCTTCTTCCCTTCTGTCCTTGTATGGACTTAACTCAGTGGAAACTGCTCTGCTGCCACACCTGCACTGAGGAGGAAGCCACAGTCACTGACGTTTTACAGCCTGCAGCTGTTTTTACCACATCTGGCTGAAGGAAGCAGAGACGACACAGACCCAGAGTTTACTGAGGAAATTAATTAATGTGATGCGGTAACCACACAGAATCTGGAAATCCCTAAATGTTGTGAGCTGGGAGGAGATTTAGAGCCTGTGTCAGTGTCCTCACTGCATCAGAGAAAACTGGGTTCAAATACTGCTCATATAAGGAAGAGATCATTTAAACCCCATGGAGACAGCTCCAAGCTCACTGTCACATGGTGCAGCTGCTTTCCTTATATGGACACAGCAGGTGAGAGGACACACCTGCTGTGAACAGATGCTTCACTTTCCACTTCAGCAACATTCACCTGAGAGACGCAGCAACCAGCCGCTTGGTGGAATCAGGTTTTTATTGCAAAATAAATGATAAACTGATCAAAGCTACAGCAGTGGAAAGTACAGTTATTCAAAAACTGTGTTGTGCTGCAGTTTCTGACACATTTTTCTTTGCTGCTTTCTTCTTTTACCATATTCCAGAGGTGAATATTGTACTGCACCTTTTTAGGTTTTTTCTATTTAACAAAATGCCCGTACCTGTGGGTAGTTTATCTGACAACACAAAGCAGGTGAAACAGTCTCCGCTCGTCCAGCTGCAGCGTTAAAACCCACTCTGTGTAGTGAGAACTTTTACCTCTGATGCTTCTGTACGTCGTACTGATGATACTTGACATTTTGAAGGCACAACTTCTGCTTGTACCAGAGTATTTGCAGTGTGGTACTGCTACTGAGTAACAGACCTGAATACTGCTTCACCACTGACAATACACAAGAGCTGGGAGGAGATTTAAAGACACTACTGGGCTTTGCTATGCTACAAAAAACTACAGTCTTTATTGTACCCAAAAGTAAATATTCTAATGAGAATACTGCTCAAAACATTAGAGGGAAGTCGCTCTTAGTAATAACTATGTAGTTTTGCCGCAGGTATATCTCCCTGGGGGCCTGTTCAGGGACTCAGAGCAGTCAGTCAGTCTGATGATTAACATGCAGCAGCACAGAGACCAAACAAGGTGTGAGCTCAGGGGAGACGTCCTGACTGGGTGGACGTCCTCGGTTTGTCGTCTTGACCACCTCGTGGACACTAACATGCAGAGACCTGAGGCCTGCAGTGCAGAGACAACAGTCCACATTGTGTCGGTGTCTCTGTCCCAGTTTGGTGCTAATGCAGAGGACAGTCAGACTGAGAGCACACGAAGACGTGTTGGCTGACTGGGATGGATGCAGGTGTTGCAAGCACGGAGATGTGTTGACTGACTGGGATGGATGCAGGTGTTGCAATCGGTTCTTTTAACCATGCTAACTCTGAGAGACGAGACAGTCCAAGTAACTTCAAAACAGTGCTGATTTATTCAATGAACACAGGTAAAAATTAACATTACATGCTCAGGTATCTTGCACCTCCAACATGCACGCAGGCAGCTGAAAGATGAAAGACCCTGAACCACAACAGGCCTATACATTATATCACTTCGGGCTAACCCCATTCTACACAGAGAGACGCCAAACCGTGACGTCTCCCGGTGCCAGCTTTGCAGCTGACCAGAGCAGTAGTCATAACATGAGGAAAATCAATGTGTGATTGTCTGTTGATTATGTGGTGTGTAGCTAAAAACATTCTAACACGACCTCTAGTGACGTGTCATGACATTAAACATAAGAATATATTATGGCTAAGGCTACAGTTATACACGTCATAATAATAATATTAAACATCCTGTCTTCTAACAGTCATCAACTTTCTATCTAGTTATCCTTCACCATAAGCAACCTGCAGTAACTCATGAGAATGACTAAGCATTTAACAGCCTGAGCTAGACATCCTGTCTACACTAAACATTTCTAATACATCAAGTATCTAACCAATATCTATCTGACTAAAAATACCTAACACAGGCTTCAACTGGTTTGACTGGAAACAAATCTAATGGCTGCACAGAAGGAAGCAGCAGCTGGTTCATATGAAATGTGTCTGTAAAATGGTTTGAAGTGTCAGTGTCTGAAACGAGAGCGTTTCCTAACTCAGAGCTATGTTTCCAGCTCGGTGGCAGTAGAACTGATGAAGAGTCAAACAGGTTTCAGCCGTTTGGAAAAAATATAAGGAAACGTTTCACAACCTGCGTTACAAAGTGAATCACAGGTCGACTGCTTTGGTTCAGGACCATTTATCTGTAGGTTGGTTTCTCATCAATCATTCGCTGCCAGAAAACAGAAAAGATCCAGTTTCCTTAGAACCGAGGCCACATCTGGTTCATTTGTTTGGACCTACAATCATTGTCTTAATTATCAGAGAAGACAAAAACGGACAATTTGACAACTGTGGAATATCCAGGAGTTTTATTTCAAAATGACTTAAAAATGTTCCTGATGATTGATCAGATAATTGTTTAGTTGCTTATTTCAGTTACAAATCAAAGTGTTTACAGTGAGTACATATAGAAATGAAACTATTTTCATCAACCAAGACAAAACCTTTGTCCAGGACACAGTGACGTCAGCGTTCAGGTGTTTGTACCAGACATGTTTCTACCTTGGTGGAGAAACAGGTTCACGTTCTGCAGTAAAATGACAACGTACTTTAAAAACAACAGCAGAGTTCAACCTGGTCACATCCTGAACAAACAGCAGGCTGAATAAAAATAAAGGCAGAAGAAACCTGTAAAAACCGGAGTTAGTGGTTAAAGACATGAGAAAAGTCAGAGCGAGACCAGATGAGCTGCCTCCATCAGCAGCTCCCACCGTGTCACAGTGTAGCTGCTCGTATCCTCATGTCCAGCAGCTGCACTATGTGTGAGCTGTGACATCGGCTGGAAACTGTTCATTCTTTATGTCAGATCTGCTGCAGGTGTCTCCTTTATTACTGACAGCAGCAGCGTTTGACTCGCTGTGACCAGGTGATTCACTGACGGAGCCTAAAAACCCAGTGAGTCTCCAACAAGCTGATTAACACATAACGACAAAGACTCACAGACGTGAACACGGCTGTGACTCGGCATCTGTGTGCGACCAGGACCCAGATACTGATGGTGGGAAATGGATGGAGACAGTTCAGGGAATGAAAATTTTCATCAGCAGATGGTACATTTGTTTTTATATTTCTTCTTCCACTCATTTATTTCTTGTTGTTGCTTCTGTTCAGCGTTTGACTCACTGTGACCAGGTGATTCACTGACGGAGCCTAAAAACCCAGTGAGTCTCCAACAAGCTGATTAACACATAACGACAAAGACTCACAGACGTGAACACGGCTGTGACTCGGCATCTGTGTGCGACCAGGACCCAGATACTGATGGTGGGAAATGGATGGAGACAGTTCAGGGAATGAAAATTTTCATCAGCAGATGGTACATTTGTTTTTATATTTCTTCTTCCACTCATTTATTTCTTGTTGTTGCTTCTGTTTCAAGTCCTCTAGCTCCTTGAGTCATTTTTCTTTTGCCTCTTTTTGTTCTTTTATGTTAGTTTTGTCCGTGATTTCTTCTTGTAGTTCTTTATGTTTTTTCTCCAGTTCTTCTTTTAGCTCCTTTTCTTTGTGACTTGACAGGGCCTGTAACAGATCGTACTGTTTGCTGTGTTTCTCTTTTGCCTCTTCCATTTCTTCCTCATGTCGTTGCATCAGATCCTTCAGTTCTTCATCATGTTTTTCCATCAGAGCCTCCAAGTCTTTGGTGTACTTTTCTCTGAACTCATTGAATTCTTCAGCCTGTTTCCTGGCCTCCTCCTCATAATTCATCTTCATGTCGTCCATTACTTTCTTATACTTTTCTCTAATTCTTTTCTCTCCTTCTCTTGTTCTCGTCTGAGTTGATCTTCTTTCCTTTTCTTGTCATACTTTGCTCGTTCCTGCCAATATATATCTTGGAGTTTTCTGATCCTTCTGTCCTCCTCCCATTGTCTGTCTTCATCTTCGTGACGTAGTTTCTCCCATCACTCTAATCTTTCCTTCTCCCAGACTTCTTGTTCTTTTTCCATCTCTTTTCTAGTCAGCTCCAGTTTTCTGTCAATTGTCCATTTTTCTTCAAATTGTGATATAATTTTTTTCCCTCAAAGTTTCCCGTTCCTGTTCCCACTTCTGCCATTGAAATTCTTCCTCTCTTTTCCTCTTCCTCTCTTCTTCTCTCACTTCCTGTTCCTTTTTTCTCTCCTCATGCTCCTTCTTGATGTTTTCCTTCGTTTCCTTGAGTTGTTCTTCTCTCAGTTTTCTCTCCTTTGCAGTTTCTGCTCTCTGTTTTTCCATTCTTCTTTTCATTTCTTCCTTTTCTTCCTCATATTTTCTTTCCAGCTCTTCTCTCTGCCTCCTCACCTCCTCCTCCTTCTCCTTCAAGACCCTCTCCATCTCCTTCTTTATCGCTCCTTCAGCCTCCTGCAGCATCTCGTTGGTGTAGCAGCTGCCTCTGTTCTCCTTCACCATGGAGTCGACCTTTTTTATCAGCTCACTGACTTGTGTGTGGTTTTGTTCATCACGGTTATTAAACACATGGTATCTTCCTCCACAGTCAGAGATCAGCTTCTTAAAGGAATCATCAGATTTTCTTTCAATATATTCTACAATTGTTAGCTTGCAATGATTCATCTCGTCTCCTTTTGTGAACAGAATGATGCCAAACTTTTCTGAATTCTTCCTTAATTAGGTTCAACGTCTCCTTCTCCTCTGGTGTGAGTCATCCAATCTGTAACACCAACAGGAAGACATGTGGTCCTGGAGCCAGAAGACTGATGCACCTCATCATCTCCTCATAAACCTCTTTATGGGACAAACTAGTATCAAACAGACCAGGAGTGTCGACCACAGCAACACGACAGCCATCTACCGTACTTGTCCCTCTTTTTTCTGACAATGTCTCGTGACTGATGTCATGCATAGCTCAGCTCTAAACGCCTTCCTTCCCAGAATGGTGTTTCCTGTAGAGCTCTTTCCACTGCCAGTCTTCCCTAACAGCACAATCCTCAGACACTCTGGGCTCTGCTTCTCTTCTTCACCTACAAAATAAGAAGGTGTAGTTTTACTTTATTTGCTGACATTTGGAGATATTCAGCAGATGCCACCTATAAATTTGATGGCTAGATGAAATTATAATTATTTATAATATAAAAAGCATTAATATATATTTAAATTACTTACAGGTGACTGTATTTTTTGTTTCCTGCTCAACCTTTAGTGTGATGATGATGATTTCCTCTTGTTGTATGACTTTGTCCATCTGGGCCTGTGCAAATGTCTCTGCTGTGTAGCAGCATGGTTTGTCCTTGGACAGTGTCATCGTGTCCACAGTGTGGAGCAGCTCAGGGACCTGCTGCCCGTCCTTGATGCTGAGAACAACACATCTTCCTCCACAGCTCTGTCTGAGCTCCTGGATGTCTCTGCTCTTTCTGACAAAGTCAACAACAGCTGGAGCTGTAGGATCTGACTCCACAGTGAACAGGATCACGGTGAAGTCCCTGACTCGAGAGCCAAACGTGTCCCGGATGGTCTCTAACTCTCCCTTGTCTTCATCAGTGAGGGGATCCACAGGTAGGACCAGGATGAGGGCATGGACGCCCTCAGGACCAAAGAGGGAGATACACCTGAGTGATTCCTCCATCACGGCCTCCAGAGGTTTTCCATACAAGGCAGGAAGCTCCACCAGGGAAACCTGACGTCCACACACCTCTGCCTGATGTTTAACACACTGTGGGGAGTTGGAGACTGAGTGAAGCTCTGTCTGACCTAGAATGGTCTTGGCTGCTGAGGTCTTCCCTGCTCCTCTCCTCCCACACACAACCAGGTTTAAAGACGGCTTCGGTCTCATGGCCTCTTCAGTGGAGAGGAAGGCTCCTTGGTTTTCATCTACAATCTTCTCGATCTTCTTCATTAACAGTCTGTGGTTATTTTCAAACATCCTGTACTGTCGTCCTCCACAGTCTATAAGCAGCTGATTCACAGAGAAACTGTTGACCTCTGCATGTGTCATGATGAGCAGTGAGTGTGTAAAAGCATTTGGGCCAAACAATCTCATGATGAACTTCAGAGTTTCCCTCTTCTTCTCTGTGAACGTTGAGGGCTTCACTAACAGCAGCAGAACATTTGGTCCTGGACAACACAGACTCTCACAGCTCCTCAGCTCCTCTTTCACCATCTCCTCAGAAAGGCTGAAGATGTTTGGGACTTTAACTACAACCACAGACTTCTCTCAGTCTGCCTTCAGAGATGTTGGGCTGCAGCAGATCTGGGGTGTTGATGAGAACTATTCCTTTCTCCCCCACCCGTCCACTGACTCTTCGACAGCAGACTGGTTCTTCCTCAGTGATGAACCCAGTCTCTCCCAGAATGAGGTTCCCCACTGGGCTCCTCTCAGACCAGCTGTTCCCCAGCAGGACGACCCTCAGCTCTGACACTGAAATGAAAATTACTCAAATTATTCACATGCTTAATAAGCTATTATAATGAAAAGAATAAAATAAATATAGACACAACATATTAATAATAATTTCTAGTAACTAGAGCCTTTTAGTTGCTTCAATCTTACATTTTGCAAACTCCTTCTATAAAACAGAATCATTTCAGGTCAACAGAACAATTCTGACTAATTTCTGTTCAGAGTGACTCACATGAAGGTGGCAGCCATTCAATGCTGCTTCTGCGTTTCCTGTGTTGGATTTTCTCTGCAACTATAAAGATACACAAATAAACAAACATGTTCTTTATGTTCTCCAGAACTGTTCAGTACTGGACATGCCTAGGAAACCACTAAGGACATCATTCAAATGATGCCTGGTCTCAACTGGTCACAACTATGATTTTACCAGCTGTCTCTAGCATTTCCCATAGACTCTGGTTGTAAATTTGTCATATAGTCAGGAACAGGATCTGTGTTTGTGGTGTTTTATTACAAACCTCTGCACTTACCCTGTTACCAGCTAAATGTATGGAGATCCTGGTTATGACTCACATCAACAGTGCTATCCCAGCCTCTTCTGACCAACATCAATATGCTTACAGGGAGAACAGATTAACTGAGGATGCAACAGCCATAGCACGACACACAGCGCACGGCCACTTGGAAAGTGCAGGCACCAAATGGCTGTCTAGAGCTCTGCCTTTAATACCATGTGGCCAAGCAAATGGGTTATAAAACTCCATGAACTGGGACTCAAACCATCACTATGCAACTGGATACTGGATTGTTTAACAAACCGCACACAGACTGTTAAACTAGGGAAATATTTAATTCATTCTAAATACTGATGGCACCCTGTGTACTTTACTCTGTTCTATTTTTACTCATGACCATTCTCCTTCCTGGCCCTCAAACGCCATCATGCAGTCTGCAGGTGACACTGCAGTGTTCAGGTTAATCTGAAACGATGAGGAGTCTGGATACTGGACAGAGATACATCAACCTAAAAGCAACCTTCCCCTGAAACTCCTTGTCAGATTCTGTTATTCTGCCATTAAATGTGCACTGACTGCTGGGGAACAACAACTGTACAAAGATACCGGCCATTCAAAAGGTAATTAAAACAGCAGGTAAAAATACTGACATCAAACTACTGGAGCTTAACTGTTTTCCTCACACTGTCTTTGAACTTTTTTCATTTCAAAGAAAAAACTTAACACCTTTTTCTTTGTTTGCAGTTTGTCTGTTTCAGTTGCTGCCAGTGCAGCATCACTGGCCAACAGAGACGCAGTATTACACCTCACCCCTCCCTCTGTGTTGCAATCAGGCCGGTAACCAAAAGATTTTGACCTGCAAAGGTTTTTGATTGAGAACCAAAGACTTTGGCTCTGCAAACAAAAAACCTGTGCACTGAGAATAAATCTTCAATAAATCTTAATCTTAATAAATCAACCCTCAGCTCTGACACTGAAGAGACAACAGTGAATTCTAAAACACAGCCAAATGTAGAATTAATCCACAGTGACACAATAAAACTAGACCAACAACCAGTAAAGTCATTTCTTTTTTTAACTGGACCTTAAGAGAACCAGTTGTCCATTATCAACCTGAAATGTGACTAGTACAAGTTTCACTTTTTATTTTCAGTGGTTAAATGGAATGTTTTCACAAATGTCTTAAACCTGTGTTCCTTTGTTTTTACAGGTCACTGAGCGTGGACTGATGAACACAATGTGACAACAGACCAAGAAAACCACAATAAGCACAGCTGCCCCCCAGGGATGTGTGCTCTCCCCTCTGCTGTTTTCACTCTACACCAACGACTGCATCTTGAAGGACCCCTCTGTCAAACTCCTAAAGTTTGCAGATGATACAACGGTCATTGGTCTCATCCGAGACGGTGACGAGTCAGCCTACAGACGGGAGGTTGAGCAGCTGGTTCTGTGGTTTAGCCACAACAATCTGGAGCTGAACACGCTCAAAACAGTGGAGATGACAGTGGACTTCAGGAAGAACACCCCCCCACCTTGCCCCCACTCACCATACTTGGCAGCACTGTATCAGCAGTAAAGTCCTTCAAGTTCCTGGGCTCTACTATCTCCCAGGACCTAAAGTGGACGCCCAGCATTAGGACCATCACTAAGGAGGCACAGCAGAGGATGTACTTCCTGCACCAGCTCAGGAAGTCCGCCCTGCCCCAGGAGCTGCTGATACAGTTCTACAGAGGAATCATTGAGTCTGTTCTCTGCACCTCCATCACTGTCTGGTTTGGCTCAGACTGCAGACCCCTCACACCCTGGACACAATCTGTTTGAACTCCTCTCCTCTGGACAGCGTTACAGGTCACTGTGCACCAAGACAACCAGGCACAGGAACAGTTTCTTCCCCCAGGCTGTCACTCTGATCTATGTTTAAGGGCAGGGCAGGATGCTCTACATATCTCTGTGCAGCAACATACAGATGTACATTAGCTCCGGTATCTTTGTTAACTTATACATATGTGTACATTTTTGTCTTTGTTTTTTTTTAACTTGTGTTTTTTTTTCTTCCGTTTTTATATTGCTGTGCACATCAGGGGCTGTTGGGCTGGAGTCAGATTCCTTGTATTTTTGATAATACTTGGCAATAAAGTTTATACTTAAGAGGACAAAACAGATAACAATATTAGAGTAGCATTAACTCAGGGGGGAATTCTAGTAGTTAAGTCAAACTCAGATCTGTTTATGAATTAGATCAGCAGTGTTTGATTTTTCTTGTTTTATACTTCAATGCCAAATTGAAGGTGATATTATACTGAGATTTTTTAAATGAACTCTACGTCTGTGTAGGTCTCGGTGTGAAGGGGCCTGTTAGCTTTGTAGTTTAAGACCATGTCCTGGCATTTTCTCCTGGAAACTGAAAGCTGCAGCCAGTGGCTTCAGATTTTAATGAAGACTGATCGTGATTGAAACTAAAACCTAAAAGTTGTGAACAGACAAACAACCAGCTCAGTGTTTGTTTAGTGGTTTGATCACGACATCTCCCCAGAAAGTGCTGTTAATCATTAACTACAAAAAAAACCTGATTACCACCAGAAGTTTATTATACCTTACCTGCAGGTTAAAGGTTGTTTATGACTGAGTGTAACAGATAAACCAGGTTGTTTGTCAGTGAGACACATAGGACCATGGATGTGAAGACTATCAGCCCCCTCAGGTCACAGTAAGGCTCCACTGTCTGAGGGAGCTGCTGTGGTCTTGGTCTTATACTTGTATAGCGCCTTTCTATGCTTTTACAGCACACTCAAAGCGCTTTCACATTATTCGGCCATTCACACTCCCAAGCACTCACACACCGGTGACATCACCAGGAGCAACTGGGGGTTCAGTGTCTTGCTCAAGGACACTTTGACATGTTGACTGGACAAGCCGGGAATCGAACCACTAATCCTCCGGTTAGGAAATGACCTGCTCTACCTCCTGAGCCACAGCCGCCCCCAATAGTCTGATCAACAACCAGAATGTTTCCTCACACAGTGACACAAAATGAGAAATACAGCAGGTCAGGTGGTCAGAGGTGAATCAGCACCGGAAGCTGGCATTAGGATTCAGCAGAGCGACAGTAGGAATTCACAAGGCTGACATGTAGACAAACAACCGCACACATTCACACTCTGCTATGGGCAATTTAGAGTCACCAGTCAACCTAAGCTGCATGTCTTTGGACTGTGGAAGGAAGCCAGACTACCTGGAGAGAACCCATATGCAGATTCCGCACAGAAAGGCCCCAGGTTGGCTGGGGTTCAAACCCGGAACATTTCTTGGTGTGAGGCAACAGTGCTAACCGCTTTACTGCCCAACACGGAGTCAACAGAATCAGTATTTAATTTATTTAACCTGCTTCAACAAACTCATGTTAAAGTAACAACATTTTAAGTATTGAACCGCAAAAACATAATTGTTAGATGAAATGGCCAACAAACATCCCCCACTGGTTCAACATGAGCTTAAAATAAGGACTTGGGCCAACCTGCACAAGTCTGACCTGTACATTTTAAGCCTGTCAGTTTGTGTTGGGAAATGTCAGGAAGCAGATCTGGGGTGTTTATGAGAATTACTTTGCTCTCCTTCCACCATCCTTTGACTTTCAACAGTCGTGTGGATTTTCCTCACTGCTGAACATCTTCCAAATCCACACAGTGTATTTGTAGCATGAATTCAAAGTCATCAATATGATTAAAGATGCACAGTGATTCTGAATTTCTCTACTGGACAAGGTGAGGTGTCCTGTCCTCACTGTGTGGGTCTGTTAACACAATAGTCTCAGTTGTCGACCATTAGGCAGCAGTTGTATTAAAAAGATCATTTAAAGAAACATGTAGAAAAATGAGAGTGACTAAAATAACGAAGAAAACAACATATTTTAGTGGCGTTACTTCTGGTGTTCAGTGTTAAGAGTCCGTCCACATTGGGCTCTAATCAGCATCACCTTGTTCAGGTGTGTAAACCTTCCAGTGCGCACAGGGCTGCGTCAAGCCAGCAGGTGATTTGACTAACTTGTTTCCTTGTTTTTAAATCACCCACTGAAACGCAGTCACTGTCAGAAGTCAGAGAGAAGCTGAGCTCAAAATAGAGTCACACCTGAACCCTGAGCTCAGGAGGATCCGTGAGATAACCAGGCCTGGTGAAGGCGCGGGCGCGTTGCGTCGCGTCGGTCAGGTAAGAGCAGCGTTCGATCCCGGCGCACCAAACTTCATTCAGAAATCTGATGGTTTTATCTTTCTCGTTTGGGTGCAAAGACGTATACGTAATAAAACAGCGGATTTTAGATGTTTCACTAACCAGGAGGGTCTCGGGGTAAAGTCGGCTGGATGGTTGAAGCCAATCAAACAAAACATGTTCGACGAACAGGCCGTTTATAGAAGGACGCGCTGTAACTGGGTCCTCCTGCCTTCTACCAGTGATGTAACTTTAGAACGATACGAACAGTTAGTTCAACCAAAGTGAGCGTGTCTTTGGTTTGCATGTGCACAGGAGCATATTTATAATGGTTTCACCTGTCCACTTTAATCAAGTATTGTCTCTGGGTCAGGGATTCAATGAGTGTTCTTTAGACCAAAGAGTTGAGTTTTACATATAACCATCAAATTATCACCAGAATATAACTCATATGATTTTAAAATCCATTGTTTTCAGTTCAGTGGAGCTCAAAACTGGTTCCATTCTCTTTTAAATAAATGCTCTGTTTATAATTACTGAAATCTAATTCCAGATGAGTTGGTCTGGCTGTGAACCACCTCAGGTTCCGATACTGTACAAGGGAGTTGGGAACCAGTTTATTGGTGGTTTTTGAAAATTAGACTGTGTCAGAGGATGTTGGGCTTCAGTCTGTGGTGGTGTTGTGTTGGGATGTGTTACGGATTTGTCATCTTTGTTATTTTAGGGCTGCAGCTGTTGACTGCTGCACATGCTGCTCCCATGCAGCATACCTTCTCTTATGTTCTTATATATTATTATCATATTGCTGCATTTGCTGCTTAAAGTGCCTTAGATTTTGTTACTTATTTATCTACTTTATATTTCATTTGTATTTTGTGGCACTCATGTGGACGGCAAAGTAAGAATTTCATTGTACAGGGAAACACGTTTCCTAACTGTGCATTTGACAAATAAACACTTTGACCCCCACCTAACAAGGGTTTTCATGATCAGTTATTACACCACTGATTATTGTCTTGACACATTTTGGGGGAGAAAATTTAAGAAACAAAAATTGAAACTGTATAAAAATTGTCATTATATAAGTTCAGACATACAAGGTGACGTCTCCACAATGTCATTTCTCGGGTCCAAAACCCAAATATATTCCATTTGCAATAAATGAACACAAAGCAGCAGACATCACCTTTTATCAGCTTAAAACTTAAACAACTAATTATCAGAACAGTTTCCTATTCCACACTTTATCTGTGTGTTAAAGTTGCTTCTGTTGGTGTCACATGGCCTGTGACTGCAGGAACCTCGTGAACTTGACGTCTGGGTGCAGTGACCCGGTCCACCCAGTGTAGCAGATGATGTAGGGTTCACCAGGTTTTTTAAAGCTCTGAGGAGGTTCCTGCTGGGTGTCTCGGCATCAGAGCAGTGGACCAGCTTAGTTTGCATGTTTTTTGCCTTTGTAAATAAAATAGACAATGCACATTTTGTCCTATTGACGCCCGCTGCAGATGGCGTCATGAATCCAGCTGGTGGCACAGTATAGCGCTTCATTCAGCGGCCACCATCTGGTTTTATGTGAACTTATGCAAAACCAGAGGAAGTGTAAACCTGAGCAGTTCAGCACAGACAACGGATGCTGGAAATGACCAGAAGACTCCATGACACTTTCTTTGATCCCATTAGGTGACTTAATTTTTTGTGAGAGTGGGGCTTCAAAGTTTACAGTAGTGTCATTGGTGGGGTTTCTCCTATCTCTGAATGCAGTGAAGTTGTAACTGTAGACAGAAAAGATGATCAGTCAAGCTGGACATTTGTCCAGGAAGTCGAGTCTGTGCCTCTAGTGTCATTGTAATAGTTTCTTTTTTGCCTTCCAGTGTTGGGGGAAGAAGTATATCAAATGAACTGGGCTAGAAGTGAAGGTTTTCCCTCAGTCATCGGTCTGTGTGGGGACATCTGACACTTGGTTTCCTCTGCTGTTATGGGTTTAAAATGGCACCCGATGAGGACCAACACTAACCACAGCAGTGCTGTCAGTGATGAACCTGAATGGATTGGATGTGGGCAGCCACCCCTGAGAGCTGAATGTTGTTCCAGCATCACAGTCACTAACACTGGTGGGAAAAGTTCACAGAGCTTGTATTTAACAGTAGTAATACTCATGACAAGTACTGAGAATAAAAATATTCAAGTATAATCACACAAATGGACTTTTACAAGTAATTAATGCAGAAAGAAGGACTTCTTAGTGACCTCTTAAACAGATGGTCATGGCTCGTGCACTGAGATGGGATTCTGAGATGGAGCTGTTTGTATAGAACTGCAGCTAATGGCTCTTCCATTATGGGCTAAGCAGCTGACTGATGGTTAAACTGGTTTCAGTGCTTGTTTTGTTCCACCTCAACGTTATTAACAGAAAAAGCAGCAAATCATCAGATTTGAAAAATGTGAACCATGAAACCATGTTTGGCATATTTACATGAAAAGTGACTGAGGATTTCTTGTTACTTCATTTCCTCAGTCAACTGTTTCAGCTTTGCTTCTATATACAGTACAGGATGTTTTTAATTCATTGTCTGTTATAATTCTCTCCTTGTTGAAACAACAGGAAGGAGGCGAACACGACATGTGAACCTTATTGTCTAAAAAAAGATGCAGCGTTTCATAGTCTGGATTAATCCTGTTGGTTTGCAGAGAATTGATAAGTGTTTTTCCTCCTTTAGAGGTAGTTTTGATTAAGGTGTCCAGTCTGAAGACAAGGTTGAACTAGGAGGGTCTTCATCATCACATCCTCCTCCTCCTCCTCCCTGTGTCTTACCCCTGACTTCCTGTCCCTGCTGACGGCTGAAGCCTCAACATCGTCTCCTGGGAGCTTCACCCTCGTCCTCTTGCTCCACCAGTCATGAATACAAACCTGAACTCTCACCCCCCTGATGTCGCTGCTCCCATTTCAGTCTGTGGTCCTCACAATAATTCCCATGATGCATCTTTCTCCAGTGCGCCTTGCCCTCCAGTCATTCAGACAAGTCACAGCTCTGTGACAGTGCTGAGCCGTAACCCTTCCCCCTGTCAGGCCTCATCGGACCAAGATGAAGATCAAAACCCGATCCCGTTACCAGATCACTCTGCTTTGCCGCTTCCAGGCTCCATCCCCATCTTTGGCCTCAGGTCCAGGCCTGAGTCCAGCATAGTTCCAGTCCTGACTCCATCTTTAGTTCCTGCTGCCACATTGAACCCTTACCCTATCCTCCCATCGTCCCAGGTCTCTGTCATCTTCTCGTCCCCAGACCTCTGTCTATCTCCACTCCCGTCTCCGTGCTCTGAGGAATCCTGCCCGGACCTGGAGTGCTCCATCTGCTTCAGCCAGTTCAACAACGTCTTTCGCTGTCCCAAGATGCTTCAGTGCAAGCATACATTCTGCCTGGAGTGCCTGGCACGCATGAACGTCAAGTCACCCGAGCCCAGCGCCATCCAGTGTCCACTGTGTCGTGGCCTCACGCCCCTGCCCACCCTCGGCCTGCCCAGACTGACCACAGATTCAGCTGTGCTGTCCTACCTGCCGGCCGCCATGCAGAGGGTCTACAGCATTCGCTTCCTCCGCAGCAAAGGGAGGCTGGAGGTCAAAAGGTCAGGCTGCAGAACAACCTTTATGAAAAGGAGTCTTTATGAAAACTATGATTTAACAGTTTGAAAAGGCGATTGTTGTGCTAGTTATTATTTTACACATGCTATTCACGAGCATCATAAAACCGGTCTGTCTCTCAGCTCCACTAGGGCTCAGGGTTCAACTGCTCTCCATCACTCAACACTTTCTTTTATTGCCTCTGTACACCTGTTTATTCCTTTAACATTTGGGGGAAGTGGTGACAAAGTGAGTGAAGCTCGGTGGTGTATAATTGAAAGATGAACCGTGTTTCCTTTTGATTCAGCACAGTGACGGTGAACCAGGACAGATGGCCTTGCTTCATTTCCTCCACTTCTGTTTGATCTGATCTCTTCGTTATCATGACTTTTCTTAACCTTTTCTTAAATCAATGCCTTGTGAGCTTCAGCCACTTTTTGTTCCCACATGGATCCTATTTATTCATCCTGACAAATGTGAGGAGGCTTCATGACTTTAAGCAGAAGCAGTTCAGAGTTGAAATGAAAGATGTTTGCACTCTGTATTATGAAGGAAAATTAAAAACAACTTACAGGACTTGTTTGAGCCCTACACAGACATGTAGTCTGATTTGAATAGCAGGTCCAGAGCCTGGTTAATGAAGGACATTTGTGTCACTGCCTGTTTTGGTTGAACCAGGTCTCCAAAGTGTGTCAGGGCTCATTAACCTGCTCCTGTATCTTCTTTCCACTGATCCACACAGTTGCAAGTAAATTCAGTTTTTGGGCAGTTACAAAAGGAGGAGCATTTGAACACTTGTCTAATCACTAAAAATGATTATTTAACTAAGATTAATAACAGAATTCTCAGCTTCATTTGCTCAATAATGCTCTGCTTCTCGTTAAGGTCCTCTGAGGGTCGGAGGTCACTTCTGGGGGATGGCGGCGTGGAGCTGGGCGGTGTGGGCGGAGCTCTGTTCAGACTGACGGATCGGCCGGCGTGTCGAGCCTTCCTCCTGACGTCTATGGTGATGATGATGGTGCTGCTTGTGGGAATCATCATCTTCATCCTCACCTTCAAAAAGTGAGTGACATCTGTTCTGTTGTCTGACGGAGAAGCACTAAGGAAAACGTCTTGATGGAATAATCTGAACCCCGCTAATGAGCCACGTTTCACTGCTGTGGCTAAAAGATGGAAACGCATCCAGACGTGCACTTAAAACCCATCGTTCAGGTCTTTTAACTTATGACTTCTGAAGCCAAGATACGCACAGGAAGGTCTGGGAAGGAACTGAGAAGCTGTGAATTTTATTCTGCTTCATCTCATTGAACTTGTGCCAAAAGACTCAAAATGTCCCAGTGGCTGATGAAAAGTTGAAAGTATTGTCAGTGTCAAGGTACAAAATGATGTTCATGTTGCTGCTGAGGAGGAAATGCATCAAGGAGCCTGAGAAGCACTGGACTTGTCTCTGCTCACAGCATCTGACTTGTGCCAAAAGCTGTAAACAGTCATCTAGCTGTCTAAAAAAAACAGATCATGGGAACTTCCTGTGCAGCAAAGTAATATTCAGGTAGCAGCCGAGGGAGGACATTCAGAAGCAGTGGACTGTGTCTTTCAGAGTATTCAGTCAGGTAATGAGAGAAGGCTGAGCTGAATGGCGTTTGATATGAAGTGGTAAGATACAGGTGTGTGTAAAACAGACTGTCTCCTTACAGGTTAGTCTGTCCAGCTGCACATCAGAGCTAAGGTTCAACATTAAATGTTTGTTTCCAGGGACTGAACCTATATCATTTTGTCACTGTTAAAACAATATTACTGTCGCTGTGACACGAGGCCTGTGAGCAGCCTGCAGTCGTGGCCTCCTCACTTGTCATCTGGCAGCACCTTCTTCATAGTCTTCTGTTTTAAATGACCTGAGCCACAGTTATTCTGATCAGCTGATACGTCGGGTATTAATGCGTCAGTATGAAACTCTGCTAAACTGTGTCAAACCCAAACACGGCTGCAGAGCGTGAAGGATTAGTTCAGTAAAAAAAGACATGTTGCACTGAACTGTCTGTGCAGATGGTTTTGGTTTATTTGTTCAGGTTGTCGGGTTCCGAGGTTTCTGTGTGAAAACCTGGATGATAAAGCTAATGTGCATGGTGAGATGGCACAGGGGCAGAGTTCATGGTTTTAATAAGCTGACCCATTTTAAAGAAGCAAAAATGAAATCCTGAGACAGTGAAGAACCTGAGCTCTGAGTTTCTGGTCACTGTATAATTTGGAAGACCCTTGGGTGTCCCAACTCATCTGGGACACTGTGGGATGGTCCCTGGTTGAGTCTGATGGCCGAAGTCTGCTCAGTTAGAAACATGATCGTGTTTTCACCGATCAACCAAGAGATCAGTGACAAACTTGGTGTTAAAATGAGTTTATTTATTTTCCAGAAACTCCTTTGACTTGTAAATCAAACTGAACCTGACACTGGAAACTGCCATTCCCAAACTTAACCCAGTTAAAAAGATATCTTAAGATTATTCACCTTTAAGTTCCAGATATTGGTGATGATTTAGCATTTTGTTTTTTTTTTAGTTGACCAGCCTGTTTGTGATCTCAGATCTGTTTTACACTGACCTGTTTTACTGTGCAATGTAAAAAATTTTATGTATTTATGTGACTATTTTAGCAAAACGTGCACTATCATGTTTCTTATGTTACACTAATAAATTCCCTTTTTAAATGATGGCATTTGTCTTTTATTAAGCAGCAGCAGGAGTTGGTTTGGGTAGGTCAAAGTCGTTTTATGCCTCCAGCAGGTGGCGCTGTAGTGTCAGTACATGAGGACTCTGCATGTCAGCAAGTGGCCAGTGTCTGGACTCTGAGCTGGGATGTGAAACTAAGGCTGCAGAGCAGCTGTGTGTCCATATTGTGTTAAGAGGTGGCTTTGTGGACACAACACACTGGGCGACTGTATGAACCGGTTTCCATGTGGCCTGCTGCTCGAATAACACCCCTCTTTCTCCGAGGGTAACTACATCAGGCCGAAGGCCGTCTGTCAGCTGCCCCATCGCCGCCCTCAGTAGCACAGCGCATACTGCAACACTACATCATATCACAAATGAAATCCTCTGACCTGTATGACCCGTGTAGGTCATTCATCCCTTCCCTCTGACACAACGAACAGGAGCATGTCCTGAAATGGAACCACTCCATTGCCAGGTGGAACAGCAAGAACTCCAGAGAAACGGCAAGCTTTACAAACTTGTCATGGAAACGGTTATAAACAAGACGGCAAGTATAATGCAACGCCATTGTCATGGAAACTGCCACAAACATACTGTTATGATTATGAAATGGTCAGTTTCATTGGGTTTTGTTACCTTAGGAGAGGAAGCTACTGGATTTGAAGCTTCCTCTCCTGGAGGAAAGTTAGGCATCTTGTGTTCCTCCTTGCTCATGTCATGATTACTATGGTCACTAGAGGTCACCAAAACGTAAAACAATGGTTGTAATCAGCTGCTGAGTTGTTTTACAGGAGGACACAACAGGCAATGACAAACCAAACATGGAGGACAGATGTGCTCAGAGCTGCATCAGCCCCTGAAGCAGCAGAGGTCAGTGCAGCATCTCTTTCACTCCACACACAATCTAGTCAGTTGCTGCTCTCACTGTTGTAACCTGGTCCATGGCCCAATGTTTGGTGCTCATATGGCAACACACAGGATCCATACAACCCTGTGAACAGAGGCTCCGCCCACAGGGTGGCAGTCGAGGCTGCCACTGGCCTTTTGGCTGAAATGGTTGTTTATACATTTTCTCTTCTTACACATGGAAACATTCATCTTTTTGCTTCTTTGTAGTTTTCAGGCACTTTGTCTATATATGGGCCATGTTTTTGGCTACATGCATGTGATGGTCCTCATTGTTGGATTTAAGAGCACAAAGCCTACAACAACTTCTGGTTTGATCTAGAGGCAAAATGTAGACTGTACAGTATGAGCAATGGTTATAACCTGGCCCGACAGAAATGGGCGTTTATTCTGATGCTTCATGTGGAAAACCACCGATGGAGCCTCTGATCTCGAGATGTCACCGTGGAGCACACCTACGCTCTGTGACCACTGGGTAAAGCTGTGCATCACTCTGTGATCGGGCTGTGTAACGAGGTGGGAGGATGTGGCTGACATTCTGTCTTCGTTCACCAGACCATGTAACATCTTAGTTCATCTTTTAAATTTGGGCTAAACTTTTGAAAGGGTGAAAGAAACAAACTCCCCCACACTGTTGATCACTTGTGCTCATTAGTCAAACAATTCAAATAAAACTCCAGTGTGAAAGTGTGTGGGATGTTTTGGATCTTCCACACTGTGGTAGATGAGCTGTGCCTGCCAGACTTTTCCTTCCTTCCCCACCCGCTCGACCACCTGAACCACAACCGCCCCGATTTAAAGGATAGATTCACAGTTTAGAAGTCTAAAAACAACTGAATAGTCACAGCAAACAAAAACTGTCTGGTTTAGAAACTGGCTCTCCTGGCTTCATATAAAAATCCCAAAACCATACTTGTTTTAATCCACTTCCAGTTTATTTCCTGCCAGTGGTGTATGTTCGCATCTTACCCCTCCTTCTGCTTCTGTACTCGGGTCCTGTTTAGCCATATTGACCCAGACTACAGAGGAGGGTTTCTTCACTTCATTGTCCCCATTCAGAACAGTGTCCTCCAGGACAGTGGTCCCCAACCTTTTTATCACTGCGGACCGGTCAACGCTTGACAATTTTACCACGGCCCGGGGGAGTCGGGGGGGGGGTACGTAGCCGAAACATTATATTTACAAAACAAAATATACCCAAAATGTCAGAATAAAGTGACACAATCTTAAATTATCCCCCTCATATCTTTCATGTAAGACCTTTTAATATACCTTTCAAGAATAATACACTTATGTCTACAAACACTTACTTGAGTTACTTTTTTGTTTTATTAAAGCCATTTATATTCATGGTTACACAAGTGATGATAAAGATATAACCTTTAGTGAATAAATATTGATTAATAAATAAATACTGGATTCATAAAATAACTCCAAACATATCAGTTTCGTTAGGTAGGTAAAGCGAATTAAGCTCTTCCCTAACTTTAGGAACAAAAAGCTTTCTGAGGAGCATCAGTAATGAGCCCCCTACTAATGTTTGAAACATGTCCAAAATGCCTCTGTTGACGCGCCGTCCCCACAAATCCAGTTTGGCTTTAAATGCAGCTACTTTATCTGCCAACTTGAAGACAGTTGTCATTTTCCCCTGAAGTGACAGATTGAGTTCATTGAGCAGGCTGAATATGTCCACAAGTAAGCCAGTTTTGGCGCTCAAGTGACCGAGATGTAACCGAGAGAATGCGGTCATTTTTCAAAATAAAAGATTGTTCATAGATAATAAATAAAACGGAAATAATTAATAATTTCTTGTACGGCCCGGTACCAATTGATCCACGGACCGGTACCGGTCCGCGGCCCGGGGGTTGGGGACCACTGCTCCAGGACACACGTTTTGTGTGTGATAGAAGGCTTGTTGTTGCTGAAGCAGGAGAGGATGTCCACGCTGTCTCATGATGGTTTGTCTGTGTGGATGATATTGCAGCAATATTATTATGAAAGCAGTGTCTACGAGCTGCAGACATGACCCAGTGCACAGCACCGCTGAGTCCTGATATGATGCACCAGGATGTTCGAGGTTCAGTTTGTTGTGACCGTGGTGCGGTGGGTAGAGCAGTCGTCTCCAACCAGAAGGTGGAAGGTTCAAATCTCGGTGCTTCTAGTCCACAGGTTGAAGTGTCCTTGGGCAAGACACTGAACCCCCCCCCGTTGCCCCTGATGGTGAGAGCCATCGGTTGAGGTGGCACCGCAGATGGCTGCCTCGGTTCTATACCGGAAACAAATTCCTTGTGAGTAACATACTTGGCCATTAAAGGTGATTATCCTTATCCCTTTCCAGGATTCTGGTCAGACGTTGGAGAAAACCTGACTGTTGCTTCTTTCCTTTGTCACTCACTGACTCTTTGCATTGAGTGCGTGACCTCTTGATCAAGATACTGGTATTTGTGCTTATGCCATTGTCTGATCTGCTTAATAAACCACACAAACGATGACTTGAAGACCTCTTTATTGATTTCTACAACACTAACACTTTGGTTTAGCTGTGACAGTTTCTCCACAGTGAAGACTGGGGGGTGTGGGAAGTTTTAAGATTCTTTAATTTGAATCAGTTGGCACGTTCTGATCTCGCCTGAGGATTCAGTCACAACGTTACAGAATTTCCCTCCACTCACACCACCCAGATCACGCAACCCACAGTCTATTAATACCTGTACATAGAAACAGGGGTGTTCCCTCAGTTTGTGGCTGCCAAACCAAAGTGTTTCTCTAATTACTGTGTTCATTCATCCCCCCCGCCACACACACACACACACACACACACACACAGATGACACAGACTCGGCAAGACTCGGATCCTACAAGCTTTTTAGCTTAGCATGCTAGCCCTCAACAAGCAGACTAGGAGGCCTTTGGTAAACCTTCCCAGGACTTGGCTCAGTGAACGGAGGTGATGTTAATACTGACATGGGTAATAAATCATACAAATAATGCATGAGATCAGTTTGTTGTATTGTTGTGTGCTAATGTACTAAATACGATGACAAAACAAGCTAGAATAACAGACTTGTAGACGTTTGCACCAGCCTCAACACTGACACGTGAGGATGTCTCTCCACCTCTGTTTCCTTGGCAGCAAACCAGTTTCACCCAAAGCTAATTTTCTGTTCTAATGCAGAAAGTAGTGAGGACGCTGGACTGTGAGGTGGGAGGTAAAGAGACATGCTGTCCACTTGTGCACTTGTAAAATTCATCATCTGCCCAGGTCTACAAGGGTGTGCGCTGTCTTCACATGCACCAGACAGGTAAACAGGATGCTGGTTTTGTGCCACGTGTACATATACAATGGGTACGGAAAGTATTCAGACCCCCTTAAATATTTCACTCTTTGTTATATTGAAGCCATATGCTAAAATCATTTAAGTTCATTTTTTTCCTCATTAATGTACACACAGCACCCCATAGTGACAGAAAAACAGAATTTGACATTTTTGCAGATTTATTAAAAAAGAAAAACTGAAATATCACATGGTCATAAGTATTCAGACCCTTTGCTCAGTATTTAGTAGAAGCACCCTTTTGAGCTAATACAGCCATGAGTCTTTTTGGGAATGATGCAACAAGTTTTTCACACCTGCATTTGGGGATCCTCTGCCATTCCTCCTTGCAGATCCTCTCCAGTGCTGTCAGGTTGGATGGTAAACGTTGGTGAGCAGCCATTTTCAGGTCTCTTGCTTCAGTGGCATTTTGGTCTGTTTCACCCAGATAGATGAGTCGGTGTGAAAATGTGGGAAAGATGGTCAAAAATGTGATTTAATGTGCTTCTCTTAAAAGCAGTTGTAGGTTTGGTGGTTGAATAAAAATGGGAAGGAGAAAGCTGTGTGACCACACAAAGCAGTTTTGAGTTTTGAGATTCAGTAAATTTGCCACTTCCCCTTTTTTTAACTGTCTTCTTTTTTATGTGGTGTCAAATCTGTGAAAAAGAAAACATTTGTTTGTACATGACCCGGTTGTACTTTTCCTCAGATGCCTGGTAATATCTAACATCTTCAGAATGAATCTAAATGGTAAATCATAATAATGTGGTTTATGATGACATATGAGTGCACTTTTCAAAGTACTCTACATCAGGATATTTCATTCTGACTGACAAGATGTACTTAACATGTACTTACCAAACAAACAAAAACACTATCTTTATAATAATGACCCTCATCAGTCAAATTAAATATTCTTCATATTTTATATTAGAAAACCAGACAGGAAAATGTTGTTTTTACTGCGCCAACCAAACCAGTGCTTTCAGATGAAGACTTTTAAAGTGTAGGTGAAAACTAAAAATCGACAGTATGAATCTTTCATCACAGGAACTCACAGGAATTGCACATTAAATAGTTTATTATTGAAAGAAAAGTGGATGAATAAATCAATTATAAAACAAACACAAGTGAGAATACATGGAGGACTGCAGACTTAATCTAAACGATATCCGGGACTCACCGCTCAGCAGGGAGGGATTTCATTCATGAAGTGCTGGAGGAAGAAATGGGAGGATGTCTGACCTTCGCTCCCATACTTATGTCTGTGACAGGAGG